ATTTATGATTTAACAAAGGAGGAGCCATTAGCCCTGCCGGGACTGGCTGCTCAGGCCAGAGTTGCCAGTTTCTCCTCAGGGGTCTCCTCCAGCAGCTGCAGGATCAGTTTGTGGAGTGGCTTACAAATTTTGGAGTAGCCGGTGCCCGTTAGATGCAGAAAATCAAACATGTCATGGCAGGAGATGGTGCCATCCGAATGCACAAAGCCCATATCCACATCCAGCAGCTGAACACTGGAGAGTTTGGGCAACGAGGCCTTCAGGAGCCGGTTCACCCAGCTGTTCTTCTGCCACAGCGGGTTCGGCTTGTCGCCATGTGGTAACAAGCCCAGTGCGATAATCTTGACCTGGGGCTACCACACATTGATCAACCTCACAGTAGCTTCTATTCCACCCGCTACTTCCTCTGCTGTGTTTTCATGGTTATTTGTTCCGACCCAAAGAACAATGACCTTGGGCTTAATATTTTCCAGTTCGCCATTTTTCAGCCTCCACAAAACATGCCCCGTTGTGTCACCTCCAATCCCAAAATTCAATGCATGTAGGGGTGAAAAGAGCTTTCGCCATATCTCATACTGCTGTGGCAGCTGCACCATGGAGTCTCTGACAAACAGCACATCTGGCTGCTTGTCCTTGTAGTCCAAGACAAATCGGTTGTGCTGTGACATCCACCTGTCATCACTCTGAACATCTTCAGCTGCATGTGGGATTGCTGCTGAGTTTGAGTCACCCTGGCTCATCCTCTCCGCTGGCGGCTCCCTGCACGCCTCCATCTGTCGCACCTGGTGGCCTGGCCTGGCTGGGCCTGCCCCTTCCGCGCTCGGTCCGCCGCCCGCTCCTCCAACAAACAAACTAAGAGCACCAGTTGAACCACTCGGCTGCCTTTTCCCATTGCAGTAACATGCAAAAAAAAGTCTTAACTCATAGCACCACTAGTTAAAAATTTGCACTCACTGATTACAGTGAACCCCCAGCAATACATCAAACGAAGTGTTAGTTGATTAATCTAGCAATTAAACTGACTGTGTGTATGCAGGTTTGCTTAGTAGAAACTCCCCCCATCCCATTTCAGACATTCAGTGCAGCTTATAAATACAATGACAGATTGCAAGAAAGATAAAACACTAATGCAGTAATAACACTACTACATTCTGCCACACCTAAATTTAATTTCAGTTTGTTCAGCGCCATCCATCTGACTGCAGCCTTAAGACACTGGTCCAGGGTGGTCATTGTGGATTTCAGAGGCTAATATAAAGAAGTACAGAGCCCTGGTGTCATCTATATATTTATAAAATAAATATAAGTAAACTCCAAAGCTGCAAATTATCTTACCTAATGGGTTAACCTAAATGTTAAAAATGAATAGGGGATGAAATATAGTCTTGTAGAACTCTAACTTGTTGACTTTGCCTCTCTAATGGAAACACTTTGACTCCTAAGAAAAAAATGAGACCACTGGAGGGCTGTCTTCACACACCTATCATAGACTCCAAGCAGTGTAGTAAAATATCATGATTCACTGTGCCAAATATCACTGCTGATCTAACAAAATGCAGGGAAGCTTTGCCTTTACTCAGTGTCCCGCTCCCAAGCCAAATCTAATGCTAGATTGAAATCAGTCAAGGGCAGAGGTAGCATCCAAATATGCCTGAAGTTGTTCTGACACTGTCTACTCAGCCATCTTACCCAAGAAAGGGAGGTTGAATTGTGGTTGGTAATTGTCCACATCCCCATAGTCTGGGGTTGAGTTCTTCAGCAAGAATATGGTTAAAGTAAAGGTAAAGGTTCCCTTGCTCGAAAGCCAGTCGAATCCGACTCTAGGGTTGCGGTGCTCATCTCCGTTTCAAAGCCGAAGAGCCAGCGCTGTCCGAAGACGTTTCCGTGGTCATGTGGCCGGCATGACTTAACACCAAGGCGCACGGAACGCTGTTACCTTCCCACCGAAGTGGTCCCTATTTATCTACTTGCAATTTCTTGCTTTCGAACTGCTAGGTTGGCAGGAGCTGGAACCAGAGACGGGAGCTCACCCTGTCTTGCGGCACCCGGGTCTTGAACCGCTGAACTACTGACCTTCCACAGCCTGCAGTTCAGCGTCTTAACCACTTGAGCCACCGCAGCTCCAAGAATATGGTTAGAGCCAGTTTAATGTAGTGGTTAAGAGCGTTGGACTCTGATCTGGAGAACCAGATTTGATTTTTCACTCCTCTACATGCAGCCAGCTGGGTGACCTTGGGTCAGTCACAGAGCTGTTCTCTCAAGAGAACAGTTTAATGTAGTGGTTAAGAGCGTTGGACTCTGATCTGGAGAACCAGATTTGATTTTCCACTCCTCTACATGCAGCCAGCTGGGTGACCTTGGGTCAGTCACAGAGCTGTTCTCTCAAGAGCAGTTCTCTCAGAGCTCAGTAGAAACAAGTGAGATTTGTGGACAATGATGCCTGCCTGGTATTAAAATAAGTTTTAATGATGGTGTCTCAGTTTTGAATAACTTGCAGCTTACACTCTTCTAGCATGGTTGAACCCCCATTTGTCCACCTAAGCATACACAGTTGCATTTTAAATTATTTTGTGGCAATTCTGTTCAGTACTTCTAACTTTGCTACAGGTAGAAGGGGATATGTCAAAGGCAAATACACTACATAATGATGGACTTGCATTGGGATCTTAACATTATTGTTTAAGTCATCTGGAGCATTTGGTGAGACTGTGAGACCTGATGAGATCTTCTTTGCAGGCCCTCTATTAAAAACACTGCAGAAGCACTTTCTTTTGGCCTCCTTCTGTCTCATCTGCTTTATTTCATCTGTATGTGTGACCTAATATGCTTGCAAGTCCAATATCGCTGCATTTTATGGTCTGCAGCTTCCTAAGATGTTGGCTTGCATTTGGTTTGATTTGTGTGCTCTCTGGTTATCAGTCTTAAATTATTTAGCTGAGTTTATCAGTGGACCTTTTATTCAGATAAGAAGAGTGCATGTGCTACCCTGCCCAATAATGCTTAACCGTGATTATAATTGGTGCAGATGTACCAAATCAGTTTCTGTTAGGCTGCTGTGTAGATACCTAAGCATTAATTACTTTTTCTGTTTTCCGAAGACTTCAGTGTTCATTTGAGAGCTTGTGAGATACTGCTAGCCAACTTTTACTATTCTGTATATCTTCTTGTTTAGACTTAATTGGCCAAAATACACGAGATGCCATCCTTCCTTGCAGAACAGACAGGGCAAAATGGAGTCCTGTTTTCTTCACGTAGGCACCACTGCATCAATCTGTTATATGGTACAGGAGGTCTCTGCATGCCTTCCTTATTGCCAGCCAGCTTACATGCTCTAGTTCATAGGTGTTGAACTCATTTGTTATGAGGGCCGGATCTGTCATAAAATGTAATGCCAGGTAGCAGAGATATTAACTTTATAAAGGACACAAACACAAAGGGTATTTTTTACTTAAAATAAAAACATGCTTAAAAGATTAGCACTCTTGCAATATTTTGTTTATTTAACAGAGTCTGATTACTGACACCTCTTGCTCTGAATTATTGCATCAAATTGTCTGTGCTGTTGCAATCTTGAGTATGCTGTTCAGGTGTGTATCTGTAAGCTGCAAACCTACGATGACGCAGCAGCAGCAGAACTGGAAGAAGAAGCAGAAGACAGCCAGTTCCACTGTGGGCCTGATAGAAGCCCTTCGGGGGCCTGAGTCAGCCCCCAGGCCGCATGTTTGACACCCCTGCTCTAGTTCATGAGCCCTCAACCTTTTTGAACTTACGGGCACCTTTGGAATTCTGACCCAGGTTGGTGGGTGCAACTGTCAAATGGCTGCCAGAGGAGACAGAGCCAACCAATAAATGATAAGGGAACAAGTTTATGCATAACATCTCAGGCAAGGTAGCTTTTAAAACGAATATATTGTTTTTCACTAGTACTGTTAGCCACTTAGGCTTTGTTTGTATATTCCATTGCATTTTAATGTATTTATTGTTTTAGTGTTTTAATGTTGTTAGCCGCCTTGAGCCAACCCTATGTCAGGGCAGGATAAAAATAGAAATAAATAAATATAAAGAAAGAAAGAAAATGTATTATTTAAAAATATTTCCATGCATATACACAGCTTGCCTTCAGTCACATAGTGAAGATCCTTGTAATGTGGTGGCAGCTGCTGCCAAAGCAATTCTATCAAAATATTCTGCACAGACAAATCAGATCTCCAGTGGCCAGTCAACAGTTCTGCTGGGCAAAAGGCCCACTGGCCACACCCACTTTCTAAAAGCACTTGATGGGCACTACGAAAGGTGCTGGCAAGCTCCATGGTGCCCACAGAGTACCACATTGGGGGTCTCTGCTCAAGTTGGTTGGAGAACATGACCTTGGAGAGGGTTGACTTAGGGATCTGAATGCCATGTGCAGACCTCCTGTTCCCTGCCGTGGGCCTACACTGATAGTATGTGTGCACATCTGGTAGGCTTGAGAAACAAGATTTTGTTCTCTCTGTGTGTGTGTGTGAATATGCACAGCTCCTATGCAGGGAACTATTGTACTTTTAGTGACGATAGAAGCTTTGGTATCTATATTTTAATTCAGTTAGGAAATTATGTTGTAATCAGTGACTGCATAATTTATTACACAAGTGGCCCTCATTATTTGAATGGAATATTATAACAGAGATGGAATAGTGCTTACTGTGTTCCTTAAAAAGGAACTCAAACCCACCCTATAAAACCAGTTTTAGAAACAGCAAATGTTGTCCACAAATTGCATTCAGCCTCTGATGCTCACAGTCCTAGCTGATTCTGGATTATTAACTAGAAAGCTATGATGGCGATGGACATGGTACTAGCAAATAATAACAGTAGTAAATAAGCAGTAAATTGGTAGTAGTACAATTACTGTCTCTAGAAGGAATCCAGTATGGAAGCAAGCTTTTTGTGAATAAATAGATGCCATCAGACCCTTAAATCTCTTCTGTTCAGTCTGAAGACAATTAAATTTTCTTTTGCAGGTTATTAGAAGAAGCAGCGAAGAGGAAAAGCTGTTGTGCCTGGTCCGACAGCGTGCAGGACATCACTGTCAAACGGCCGTCATTGTGATCCTTATTTTGGCTTGGGAAGGGATTCCCCACCTTCTGGCTGACACCCTGTACAAGGAACTGACGCAGAGTCTCCGAAAATATGGCTGTCCAACAAGCCGTCGATGTGCACTCAACGAAGAGTAAGCGAACCCCATAGCATTGATACTGTGATACATAAGAGTGTCATTATCAAATCTAATTATCTATGTGAATCTGATTAGCCTTTTTAAATAGTGGATTAGTCACGATACATACAGTTGGGGGGGGAATACAAAGAACCTGTCACTTTGTGGTGACACGATGTTCCTTCTGTGCAGTAGGATGCAGAAAACTTGATGAAGTGTGTGTGGGAGGACAGCATAAGCTCTCTGCTCTGCATTTCCACAGCTGGCAAAGCAGGAAATATATGAAAGCAAGCAGGTTAACCCTCATCTTCCCTTGATCTGGCCTACAGCTTGCCATGCTTCTTTTGATGCCAACTAGGACCATAACCAAACCCTTTTGCACTTCTTAAATCAAAGCATGGTATCTCTCTACACATCTTAGGCTGCTCTCAGATGTCACAGCAAGCAGACATTAAGCTGGTATGTGCACAAATTGTTTTTTGCCAGGTGCACCTTGTTCTTTACTCCTCTGTCCTTGTTTGGAACACTGGTCTAAAACAGACTCTGGTTACCAGCAATGTGTGAATACGGGCTTAGCATCCTGGCTTGGGGAGTACAGAAATTAACTGTGGTAAGCCTACACACCTGCATTCATACGTTGATGGCTACTCTTTATTTCTCCACAGTCGTACATGTGCCTGTCAAGGGCTTGATCCAGAGACATGTGGGGCATCTTTCTCTTTTGGCTGTTCATGGAGTATGTATTACAATGGCTGTAAATTTGCCAGAAGTAAAATCCCCAGGAAATTCAGACTTCTCACAGATGATCCCAAGCAGGTAAGTGTCTCCCCCTTCCACAGACATACTCTCCTGTCCTTCCTTAACAGTTTCTACTTTTACTTTCAAGGGCAAATAGGACAGAAAGTGTACCATCATCTTACCACTCTCCCCGTACACTTCGTTAGACATTCAAGGCAACTTGGTATCTAATGCAATGTCATTGTTCCATCCCCCTACCTGTCACTGCTTTATGGATTTCTATATATAGATTTAGCAGTACTGTAAGAGAGCTCTGATAATAACCAAGCCTCTTGTACACTGTCAACTTATAGCATGCTTTCCTAAATATTTTTTCATTCATCTGTGTAGTTTTTCACACATCATCCTCAAATGCCTCAAATACCTCATAGTTCTTTTGCCTCCGATGGGTAAGTACCAGCGATCTGGCAGTGGAAGGCACTGATGGTTATAGATATTCCACCCCCTCCCTAAGTACTATCCAACCCCAAGTGAGTTGATTCACGGGGTTGCAGGACCCACATGGACTAATAGCTACATAGGTCAGTGCAAAGGAGGGTCATGAAACCACCCTTCTGTTGAAAAAGGGGGAGAGGGTGATTTCCCCTTCTTTCCCCTGTTCAGCACAGCCCCATGACCTGCATGGCTATTCATTCACATGGACTCCTTGACCCCGAAAATCAGCATTCCTAGGGTCAAAAAGGATTGCAGTGGGAAGAAGATGTAGAAAGATCCATCATCCTTTTGCCCGTGAACACAGTCTCCTGTCCCCTACCACTCTGCTCACCATAGTCTGATACCTTCCTCCAGTTTAAGTAATTCTTCTGCTGGCAGAAGAGCCACAGGTTGGAGGAAGGCACCACATTTTGCTAAGCGGAGTCATATCATACAGTTCTTTGTATGCCCTTTGTCCACTCTAAAATTCATCATTCACCTTTAGTTTACCTTCAAGGAGTTTAATATAAAAATGTATTTCTTATTTTATGGATGAAGATGTCCCTGGAAAAATCACTTCTTGGAGCTGTCTTTCTCTTTGTGTACCTTCATTTTAGCTAAATGTTGATTATTGATCATTTTGCAGATGACTTAAACTAGGATGTATAGCAATGCAAGCGCAGAAGAAGATAGATTCAAAGTACAGACAGATATGGATCATGTGAGGAATTGGATGGAGTGAGATGAGTTTAAATGTAAAGATAATACCTTTTAGGTAAGAATAGCATGTAGTATAGATGCAAAGCTAGAGAGATCAAAAAGAAAAGAGCCGAGAAGACATACTGAGCCGTTGCTTTTCTTGGGGTTTTTTTTTGCATGTGGGTGAGTTTATGGTATTGTGTGCTCATGCAGAATCCACACAGTATCCCCCAAAGTGTAATCAGAATGTCTGCATTATGCATACATACTCTGGATTTCTCATGCACACAGAAGCACTGGAGAGTTACACATGAATAGGCCTTACTCACAAGGTAGCTAATACCAGCAGTCTTTGACTCTGCCTGCCATTTAGGTGTCCTTGGGGCTCAGCCCTGTCCGTTCTTTCCTCCCGGTAACTAAAGTGCACCCTTGCTTGGAGCTGTTCCTGCATTCCCCCACTGCACACCCTGACCCCGTGTGATGGAGTGGTACTGAGCATTCTATACCAGACTGGCTTTCCAGTTAAGACAGAAAGGAACCTGCCACATCTCACTGACCACTACTCATAATTCCTTTATACTTCCCTGTCTTCCTGGGATTAGCCATCCCAGTCTTATTTTGTGATTTCACTATTCATAATTCCTTTATACTTCCCTGTCTTCCTGGGATTAGCCATCCCAGTCTTATTTTGTGATTTTTTTTTAAACATAGGGAGGAGACCCCAAGAACTACCCTTTCATGAAAGGTTGTATTATTTATTCCATTTTGATTTTTAGCACATTTTATTGAGATCCTTTAGAATTTGGGATGTTTTCCTGCACTCAGAGCATTTTGCACTGCCTGAATTCATTAGCCTCAAATGCTGCAAACAACAGATATTAATGTGCATTTAATGTTTTATCTTAGCTTGTACTAAACAGTGTGAGGAGTCCATATTAACACCCATGTAAATGAATTTCCTTAGTCAAATGTAAAAGCTTAATTTAAAACAAAGCCTTTGTCAGGCTTTAGAGGTTTTTGTTGTTGTTAAACAGGCCAGGTTGTGGGCCTTGATCAAAAACTCAGTGATTGGCCTTATCAGATGTATCATTTCTCTGTTTAGCCTCCTTGTTCTCATCTCCAATATGGAGATGATGATAAAGCTGATCTACCTTACAGGATAGTTGTAACGGTTACTGAAATAATGTTATGTGAAGCACTTAGAATGCTCTTTAAACTGCTACATAAACTCTGCTCCTATTAAATAATGAAGATGATTGTATGATAAGTATTATATAGTGGATTCCCAAATATGGTATGCCCACCTTTTACTGCCACCAGAATGTCCCTTCACCGATCTCCTGTAGCTGTTGTCCTCAAATGAAAAGTGGACAATGGAGAAGGAATTTGAGTTTGCAAGTCCTTTGCTAATGCCTTTCTGTGATTGGTTTGTCAACTTTTCCCTTTTTCTGCTCAAAGTATGTCATGGTTTACTATTGTGGCTGTTAGAGTGCCTGTGGGTTAGTCATCAAACCACAGAAAGTGGAATAAATACCATACCAGGGCAGTGTTCATATTGCTCTCATAATTTTACTGGCTTGCCTCACAAACTGTAAAATATGATGTTTGTTCTCTCTCTCTATGTCCAGGAAGAAAATCTGGAAAATAATTTGCAAACTTTAGCAACTGATGTGGCTCCGCTGTATCAGAGACTCGCCCCTGATGCTTTCCAAAACCAGGTAGGTCTCAGAGAACATCATGATTTACACACTCAGTGTTCCTGTACAGCACTCATAATTGTTAATGCTGCTGATACTGAGAGAAAATTCGAACAGGTTTGAAGGTATGAACTAACAGAGATATTCATGCATTTATTGGCAAGTTGGTCTCATATAACAAAATGGTCAATTCCTGTTTAAAATTACAATCACAGTCTTCCAAAAAAGATAGATTAATGTTTCAATGTATCTGAAGACGTGTGCATGTACACAAAAGCTTATAGCCAGAATAAAACTTTGTTGGTCTTAGAGGTGCCACTGGACTCAAACTTAGTCTTCCAAAAAGACTTTTATAATAGATAAAATTACATCATGAAGCAATTTGCCAGTTTTGCACCTGTATTGCATCATTATCTCTGAACTGTGATCAGGCCCTTATGCCCACCTTCAGATGTCATAAGCCAACTGCAATTTAGTCATAATTAGAACGAACCTGAAATCCTAGACTGTCACACTGCTCCTCTCCCCCTTACCCTCATATTTATGGTGCTGAACTTGAACTTGTAAGTTCTCAGTCTAACTGCCATTTGTTGTGGTTTTCAGTTTCAGACTCTGTTGTTGTGCTTATGATGTCTGAATGCAGCCATTGTAGGAATAGTTTAAGAGATCACCAAGAGGCAGCTGTAACCATGTAGGGTGCTGAAATAAGCCAAACACTGCTGTTCTCCTGCAGTGGCGGGAGTCTACAAAAGTAGAGAGCATGCTATTACAGCTGTTGGAGTTTGAGGTGTTGTTTTGTGTGTGGTTAAAGTAGGTACTTCATGGAGCATGCTTGCACTGTTCTGTAGAAACAATGCTAAGATATGGGACTGAATCATCATTTACTAGTACTAGGGGTCATTGATTGCAAGAAGGTGTTTCACAGGTTTAGCTAAAAGGTAAGCTACAATGCAATCCTGAACAGAGTTGTAGCTTTCTAAGCCCATGGACTTAATGGGATTTGCTGAGGACTGTACTTTATTTTAAAACTCCCAAATTTCTGTTTCTAGATTCTGCTCTTGCTATCCATGCCGTTGTCCCCCGCAACATTCTAGCTGGCTAACACACATTGGTTGAATGGTTCTATTGATTCTAATTGCTGGCTTGTATATTGTCTTGTGTGTTATGTGCCATCAAGTCACTTTCAACTGATGGTGACCCTATGAATTAATATATAAAGTTCTTAAAAGTTAATTTTATTTTCCATTTTGGCGTCTAGCAGAAGAGTCATAAACTGTGTTCACAGCCGTTACAGGAAAGTGTATAGATTAGTTTGCTTGATATGAAAAAGGGCCTTGAAACTGATAGTGTCTGATGTTCTCTTGTGTCATCTCAACATAACATATCACTATGGTGTTTAGGTGGAAAATGAGCACCTGGGTCCTGACTGTCGGCTTGGGTCTAAGGATGGTCGTCCATTCTCTGGTGTCACAGCTTGCATAGATTTCTGTGCCCATGCCCATAAGGATACACACAACATGCATAATGGAAGCACTGTGGTACGTAATGTTTCTGGATCCTGTTCTCAAAGTACTTAATTATTTCACATGGAGCCTTCCTGGGGCTCTCTTGCTTTTTGGGATTTCTCATGGGATTTCTTCCATCTCTGAACCTTTAGCTCTGTTCTTTGTTTGCATTGCAAAGTTCAATAAATGAACCTCACATACAGTATAGAATTGCAATAAATATTGCTTTCTTGCAAGAGGCGCGTCAAGTTGATGTGATTAAAGCTCGTGGGTTTTTTTACGTTGATAGAAGTTTTAATCCAGAGTGCGTGTATGCATGCTTTTTCTGGAAACTGATTTGGTGCAAGATCTTATTAAAAGGTATCTGTGCACATCTGCTATCCCAACACCATGCCATTTGGATCCTGGCATGGATCTGCCACAGTGAAAATTCATCTTTTTTTTATCATAGAGGATCAGAGGTTTGGCTGTACGAGGTAAGACTGCAAGAGTCTGTATGAGCCTCTGGTTGAAGACAAGGGAGGCAACATGTGAAGGTTTTCCCACTACAGGGCTTGAAGGTGTACCCACTGAAATTCTTCCTTCCATATCTCTGCTTTTTAAAAAAAAAAGTGTAAAAGACCTTTCCTGTATTGAATCCAGAAATTCAACCATTTGGGTCTGGAAAATGAGAATGGGAAGCAGATGGTGCAAATCTGTTTCGTAATTGTCTTAAGTATCTCTCAGTGCCAATGTGCTTGTTTTCTCTCATTGGGATATCCTGAACTGTACACTGGAAGAGGTCATAGGAAAAGAAGAATGTATGTTCGTGCTTTGCAGGGGGAGGGGAGGAGAAATTGAGAATTCAGAAGGCCCCATGACCAAATCACTTTGCAGGTCCCATGGCAGTAGGGATGTCAAAGCAAGGGGACAGAACTCCAGACCTCATTTCAAATCTGGCACCACCCAGTTCCTTTTGACTGGAGATTTCCTCCCTTGCGTCTGCACTGCAGAAGCTCAGGAGGTTCTGCTGCTTTCCTTCTGCCATTGGACCACCAAAAAGAGAGAGATTGGCATTGCATGGGCACCTATAAAGCAATTCCCAAAGTCTGCTTTTCTTCTTTGTGGCCTTGGTCTAGTTCCACAGTTAGGGTGTGCACCTGTGTGCAGCTCATCTGGAACCTTCTAGAACTTTACTTAGGGATGGAGCTGATGCTCTTTTCCAGCAAAGTTTCCCAAAACTTCCTCCATGGGACAATGTCGTCCTGCTCAGTACTCTGCTGGCCAGAGTGGGACAGTTGCAGACTGTCTCAGTGAGCTTTGTTTTGATCTGTTCTCTTACAGTGCTGAGCCTTCTTGGGGTTTTTGTCCCCCTCTTATTTTTATTTTTATAGCTAGTGGGCCAAGACCACTGTCTTATTTCATTTGAGTGTCGCAGACAGCATTGTAGAAATGGATTTATGGGCAGAAGTTCAGGATGGCCGGATTTGATTAACTATTATGAAGGTGGCAGCTGTGAAAGAATGTTCTTAAAGAAAATGAACTAGAATGAATAGGTCTTTCTAGTCTTCTGTATGGTTTATTGTAGCATCACAACTGTGGTAAATTCTTAGTGGGGGGAGAGGGAGCCCTATCATTATAGGCATTGTGAACAGTCGGAAAACTCAAAGTTAATTTAAGCACCAGCATTTCACAGCTGACATTAATACAGTATTGTATGATGAAGCTCCTGACAAACGTTTTGGAAGGCATGTATGTCTGGAGGGCAAATGATTTATATAGGATTAAGGATCTGATAGAGAAACAATAAGATATAATACTATTAGGAAATGGTAGAATGCAAGGTGATAGCCCCTCTTATTTCCAGGAATATTCAATTATGACATCTTTGCCTAATTTAACTCCAAAAGGTAGTCAGGTTAGGCTTAAGCATTTCGAAGAATTTGGACAGGAAATAACAGGTTTAATTGGAAAACTCTATGTCACATTGCTGGAGTTGGGTATTACGGAAGTGCATGTGCATCAGACGAAATGGGAGAGGAGATCTTACACAGGTCACAGAAAATGTTTTTGGCATCCTGTTCCTTCCAAACTAATGTC